GACCTTGGTACCATCAGCCCCACGCCCTCTCAAGTGAGCTAACCGGCCAGCCAAAAACAGGCTTTAAAACCTGCTTTTAAGTGCATTTAAACCTTGAAAGTGCCAGCTTCTTGTGTACCCTTGCTGCTCATGGGGCATCTCTCATGGGATACATCCTAATTCCCACCCTCAGATTTTGGGGATCTCCTTGACAAGAACTTGAAGTCATCCTAGAGAGTGAAAAAAGCAGGGGCCCTTGGCCCCAGCTGTGCCACTATCACCGCATGAGGGACTGGGGGCAGAGGGGACGTCATTTAGTGGGCCACCCCCACAGGTCAGGTGCATCACATACCTGTTACTTCATTTTGTGTGTGTGTGTGATTTACTTATTTTTATTTTATCATTATGCAATATAAGCATTTTTTTGTGGCCCTTTACCAATTTGTTACTGCATTTAATACAATATCTTAGAGCAGCTATGAGAGTTATTCTCATCTCCCAGATGGGTAAACTGGGGCCAAGAGAAAGCTAAGAAACTAGTACAGGATCTCGTGGTAGGTGAACTGAGAAGGGGGAAGCCCCCCTGGAGTGTGGCTGGACCTAGGGACTCGCTCTAACAGAGAGAGGATGGCAGAAGGGACAGGCTGTCTCTCCCAAGATCACCTGGTGAGGGGACTGTGGCTCTGCGGGGAGGCCCTTTCACATGCTTGGGCTCTCTCAGGCCATTCCTCCAGGGAAAGTCAGCTGCCACGTGTGAACAGCTGTGTGGAGAGGCCACATGGCAAGGACCAATGCCACCAACAACCACATGAGTGAGCCTGGGAGCTGACATTCCACCCTGAGAAGCAGATCCTGCAGGTGAGACCACAATTCCCCTCCCCCCCAGCTTGCAGGATTTGGCCTTGCACTTGACCGAGTGAAAAGCCTGCCTGTCCTGGGTCTGCTCAGCAGAGCACCCAGGAACTCAGAGCCCACATGAGAGAGGCCCCCTCCTGAGAGTCTTTGAGCCAGAGGTGCCAGCTGGGCCATGCCCAGAGACACTATGGGATAATAAATGTTTGCAGCTGCTATGTTTGGGGGAATTTGTTGTGCGGCAACAGAGAACTGATCCAGTGGGCTTGTCCGTGCTGTCCCCTGTACCACGCAGCTTCCCTAGTGAGCCATTTGGTTACTCCAGGCTAGATGACCACATAAGTCCCTTTGTCATTGTAAGAACTGGACCAGAGAAATATGTCTCCCCCATCCCTGCTGCTGTATCTGTGGAAAGGGCTCTGAATTTCAGCTGTCCCAAAGTGAGTGCTATGGTCTAAGTGTGGATGGTGTCTCCCCCAAATTCATATGTTGGAACTCAATCCCTGACGTGATAGTATTAAAAGGCAGGGTCACTGGTATAAAATGCGATGTGATAGTATTAAAAGGCAGGGTTACTGGTATAAAATGTGCCCTTATAAAAGTTCCCTCCTTGGGGCCGGCCCGGTGGCGCACTGCTACACTGCGCCGCTTGGGAGCGTGGCGGCGCTCCCG